TGTCTTTACTGACCTGCCTGTTACATATGAAGTCCGTAGTAGACAGGAAAGGAAATTGTGTCAGAAGTTCAGAGCTGACTCCCTGAGACATTTACAACAAAATCCCTTTTGGGAAGTGACATACAGAAACATTCCTGCTCCAAAGAACATACAAACTAGATGTGAGGAGAGGGGGATGAAAAATGTTGCCTTAGGAAAAAGGAAATTCAGTAGCAGAGTTTGGGTCTTTATAACAGAAGAACCCAGGCTATATGAAATCATATCAGCCCTTGCTATCAACAATAATGTGGCAATAGCTGGCTCATGGCTTCTCCAGTGCAGGGAAAAACCACAAAAAAGCTGATAAATTATTTGCTATGTGTTTTGCCACCACAAATTAGTGCATGATGAGGCATCCTGCAAAAAGCAGTGTTTGTCTTCATGAAGATGTGCAAGTATATTTACCAGAGTACTAATGAAGGGTGCTTGTGAAGGAAATGAAGCCTCAAGTGTGTATAATTATGTCCCTTTCCTTCCATGATAGCTGCCAAGTGCTAGACAACAAGAGACCGTCACCTATAATAGCAACAGGGATTTTGATTGTTTTCTGCCATTTGCTCTGCATATTGAAAACCCTGTAGGAACCTCTTCTGTAGAAGATGATAGGTGTCAGGCTTAAATTCAAATATACACCCATGTTGTTTTCAAAAATGCATGAGTTTAAAGGTATAAGTTTTACTGGGTATGTTACACCACGCTGAGCATTTGGCATCAAGAATGTCTAAAGAATTCATGTGAGTACTCTAAATATATTCCAAAATCTGCTGTTAAATTCATTCTTAATTAGGATCTAAGCAAAACTAGCATACTCTGGTTGCTTGGAGTTGGGACTGCAAAAGAAGTGCATGGTAGGGTCACTCTCTGGGAAGGGAATGCCTGCTTTAGTTGTCAAGATAAAGAGCTTGGAGCCTATCTTGGAACAGCAATGTTTGACAGCTTTGACTGGAATTTCCTTCTTTCATCATATGTTTCATAGAACAAACTAACTCTATATAAACTCTATACACTAATGAAATCCTGTAGGATGTCAGGTTGCAACTGTACACCATACTGAGAAAGGAAATAGCTGCATGGGAAAGCACATGATGGTAGAGTTCAGAATTTGTCCAAACAGATGCATGTGTTGGCTGCACCACTGAAGGTTTGAAAATAAATCAGTCCCAGAAATGAAGTAATGCTCTTTCACTCTTTGTTAGCAACTAGGTACTATATGAAGGGTACAGTAATGCAGTAAAAATCAACTATTCCTGTGAAAGAACTATACTGACAATCTTTCTTTCCTGAGATGAGGACAGGATCATTAGGATTTTTTTCTCCGTGGGACATGATTCTTCTCTTGCTGGTGGGAGAAAGAGGGTGAAACAGTTTGGGAAAAAAGACAACTATAAGCCTGGTGCAAATTCTGGTTTCAACCATACACGGCCCTGTGTGTTCAACATCAGTGTTTATCTAAGTATAATTATGTTCAACTATCTTGTTAAATTTTTTCTTCTTTGGTCTTTATTTTAAACTGCCACTAATTATATCTTTTGGGTTAAAACCAGTCAAACTGAGCATCTGTTATGTTTGTGAGCAGCTGGCTAATGCATCTGGGCAAAACTATCCCTGGATGTGAAGAGAGGTGGAGGATGGAATAGTTAATTGCCTGAGGATCAGCTCACTGCCACTGGGGAGGCTGGTCTGTGCCTAAAGCTGTTCTATGGTGGGTCTGGTAAGAAACCTGGTGGGCAAAAGAGGACAGTGTGAAGTGTGACTGTTATGCTGACCACCAAAGTTATTGCAGAAGTGTGTTTTAGGAGCCAATGATATGCTTTTGGGACAGTGACTGTTGTTTATATATATATATATATATATAGCCATGGTAAAGAATTTCCATTTTGTCTGGAACTCTAACAAATACTGCAAAGGCTTTATTAATGACCATGTGGGTGGAGAACTGTCAGCACCTTGATATAGAATTGCTAAGAGTCATCAGAAACAGAGTTGGGAAGAAATGGAAACTAAAAAGAAGTGACAACTGAGTTATTAGCTTCGTCCTTCTTGGGCTTGTGATAGTTTAACAATTTGGGAACCAAAACCCCAATCATTCAGCTGATAAACATTGAGTTAATTTCAACTAGTTTCTAAAAAACTGGAAAATGGCTTAGAACACTTGCTAGATTTTTACAGAATGTTTATCTTTTTGGAGGCATTGATAGGATTTATGTCAGTTTGAGAGAAAAGGGGCCCTTTGCATGGAAAAGGAAACACATCAGCCCTATAAACTCTGAAGCTCAGGTGTATCAGAATTATGTATTGATGTGTGGTAGGTCCCCACTGTTACAATATGCATTTATTGCCTGCCACCCCTGTTTCCCCTGAAGATAAGTTGGTGAAGCATGATTGAGACAGAGCTGACTTTACATCCCTGCCATATCCAAGAATATGGAACCTCTGCAGCTGATAGCACAACTGAAAAATTGGTAGCTTGAGTGCATTTATATTGCTTAGTACAGTCAACAAACAATCTACATAGATGTAAACGATGGTTTTTCATTCTGTTATTAATCTCAGAAAAAAAAAAGTACAAAAATCAGGGTTTAGATGTTTGGGGTTTTTTTCTCATAAATTGTGAAATTTGCTGCCGCAGTCTAATTTGTTCAGTAAAAAGTGTTATACTCCAACCCACAGTAAAGAAGAATCTGGAGCTTGTACGACACTCTTCAATGTGTTGGTAGGGAAAACATACATGGCAATTAAATCTAATCCAATATCACTTTTTTTTTTTTCCATTTTGTTGTTCTTTTCACTGTGATGCAGGCAAGGCATGATTTACTTTTTGGTTATTAAAAACGAGAACTTGTCCTAAGGCCTGGTGACAATTATGTCTGCATTTTTAATTTCTGTTTAGGATATATGATACTGAGTTTTTTTCATGCCTGTCCACTCTCTTGATGAGTGAAATTTTGGGAGACTTGAAGTACATGACCACTGTTTGTGCAGGTGAAGGCAAGGCTTGGTCTCGCCTGTTTTTTGTCTCTTGTTTGAGTTCTCTAGTTAGAATTGCAATGGGTTTAAATGACACTATATACCTTGGCCTTTACGGAATAAATTTCTCATACGCTTCGTGTGCACAAGCACAGAGATGATTCTTATGAGTGCCAGGCTACTATTTTGGTGACTCTTGACTTCCTCCTGGGCCCAACCCATGTTCATAATCACATTTGGTTCCTAGTAGTTTCAGGAAATTTCTGTGGAATGCTCCTGGTGACTACATCTCTTCCTTGGCACTATACAGCTCTGGAATGAAACACAACAATTATTTTATCTGAAGAGTAATATGTGCAAGTAGTATTTAATGATTGCCCTCCCTTTAGAAACTGGAACCTTTACTGAAATTCAATCTTGAATGTCAGTGTAATGGAAAATATAAAGGAAATTCTATTTCTTATGTTATATATGACCAAGATGCAGGAAATCTTACTTGCTGATTCAACCATTGATTTGCTTCTAATGCTAACCAAAAACTCAATGAATGTGGATCCATTGCTCTGCACAGAAATGGATGGAAAATAGACAGAAACCAGTAACACAGCTAGCAGAAACTCGGTGATTCTGGCATGTGATAATCTACTAAGCTTCGCTCAATTTCCTTCCAGTACAATTAATTATTTTTGTTTTTGTCATGAGAAAATCTGTTGTGATAACTTCCTTTAGCAGCTCAAAATGTAACAGCAAACTCCCTGCTGGCATGACTTCAAGAGCAGAGCTGTGCCAGCAGATAATTTGGCCTAGATTATTTTTAAGAAGGTTGTCAGTCTTGTTTTTCACTATTACATGCTTACTGTGGTAATATCAAATATTTATTCTACTGCTTACAGCTTTAACTCTAAACAGTTAGTGGAGTAATCTCTCGACCTCTGCAGTGACGAGGATGACCCCTCACACAGAGCTATTTGAAAAGGAGAATGATTCCTCTTGTGAAATTCTTTTATTTAAACTGTGTTACTAGAAAACTATGTTTTTTTCATTCAAGCGTTATCCTTTTTGCCCTTGCTGAAATACTGAAATGAAATTCTTGTATCACAAAACTGGTACTGAAACCTGTGGCTGCTCCCTTTTTTTTTTCCCCTTTCCCCCCCCACATAGTAATTCTCTCACCTGAATACATATGCACATAGGAGTATGCATGCACAAGCAGTCAAAGACCCCTCTTAGCTTCAGACGGGTGAAAGAGGAAACATTAACATTCCATTAGCTGAAGGGTTCACACGAGGGGTCTATAAAGAAATCTGGCTCGGGGTTCCAGAACATGTTGAGAGAAAGCCATAATAAAACATAGGTGCTTCTTACATCACTCACTAGCTCACTGATGTATTTGTGTCCCTGTTCCCTCCCCCCTGCCTACAGCCTCTCACATCTCTTTGGAACACAGACTCCCCTCCCCTATAGGAAGTCTCATTCATTCATGTTTTGAAGGAATTTCTTAATTCTCTTTCAGCAAGATTACCACCATCCGTGCCCCTTTTCCTTCCCTCTGCCTTTGCCAGAGAGAGAGAGAGGAGTAGGGCCTGCCCAGATGGTTGAGGACCAAAAAGAAGGAACATTTTCTCATGCTTTTAAAAAGACCACTTTCTTTCCTGCCTAATATTTAGCTCCTTCAAATGCAAATGGAGAGGTTTCGCTCCAAGGTTAGCATAACAATTATGGGAAAGCTTTAAATCTGAAGCATTTGTTTACACGATGAAAGGAGTGCACAGTCCAAAAGCTCTGAGGCCAGGGCTTTTCAGTAGCTATTTTCTGACTAAGTAGTGAACTGCAAGTCAATTTTAGACCACAAAGAAAACCAATTTATATCAGTGTGTAAGCTAATTTTGGAGGGAGTTCTACATTATAAACGATGGTGGGGATTTTTGGGTGGTTTGGGGTTTTTTTGTTTTGATTTTTTTTTTTTTTTTTTTCATGGTTTTTTTTGTTGTTACTGAAATAAACTGCTGATTTTCCCCTCCTCCAACCTTTTGCATCTTGCTGTTTAATGAGTCCTCAGATGTTAATAACTGCTCCCCTTGCCCTCAGAAGAAGGGATCTATAGGATCTGAGCAATCAGTTTCAGAAATATCCAGGTGTGTGTCTGTCCAAAAACTTACTAATGCTCAGGAGTGAATTTCAGGTGGTCAGAATAACTCTTAAATATGTATTTTCCTATCCTACCTTATGTTTAATTTGCTTTCTTCATTGCTACTCTATAGGGCACGTTCTTAGCCAACTCTTCACTGGTAAAATGCTCTGGAGTGACAGCTCCTAGGATCGAGTGAGTCCATGGATGTTGCAAGACACTTCTATTGTGAGTGGATTTATATTTCTCCATTGCCATGCTTTTACTATGCGAAAACTCTGAAAAAAATATTAATGCTGTATAACACTACAACTGGATGCTTCCATTTCTTTCATTGATTAGAACCTTTCTCCAGAAAAACCTCTTGTCACTGTTCATGCTGACTTTCAGTAGCATCAGATTAGCTGTAAATCCTTGAGTATTTGCAGAGTTTCTTCTTTATAAGGCTGGTATAGCAGCAATGTGAGGCCCTTCACATTGCCTTGTGGCCCCCCTTTGGATGCTCCCTGGTAGCTTTATATCTTTCTTATGTTGTGGCACCCCAAACTGCCCCCAGCACTTGAGGTGAGGCCGGCCCAGCCCAGAGCAGAGCAGGACAATCCCCTCCCTTGCCCAGCTGGTCATGTTGTGCCTGATGCCCCCCAGGATATGGCTGGCCCTCCTGGCTGCCAGGGCACTGCTGGCTCAGATTCACCTTGCCATCAACCAGGACCTCATCAACTACAGTGCTGCTCTCCAGCCTCTTATTCCCTGGTCTATATACACAACCAGGACTGCCTCATCCCAGATGCAGAACCTGGCACTTGGCCTTGTTAAGCTTCATATGATTGGTGATGGTCCAGTCCTCTGATTTGTTGAGGTCTCTCTGCCAGGCTTCTCTGCCCTTGAGAGACTTGACAGCTTAACCCGAATTTGATGTTGGCAAACATACATAGCATTCCTTCGAGTCCTGTGTCCAAGTCATTAATGAAGATGTTGAAGAGAACTAGGCTGAGGATGGAGCCCTGCAAAACCCCACTAGTGACCAGTTGCCAGCCTGATGTTTCCCCATTCCCTACCACCTTCTTGGCCCAATTTATGGGCCAGTTGCTCACCCATCACCTAGCCTAGTTGCTCAACTGTATGCTGGTCATTTTGTCCAGAAGGATACTGTGAGAGACAGTATCAAAAGCTTTGCTGATTACATCATCTGGGTTTCCTTGGTCAACAAGGTGGGTTGAATGCAGTTGTTTAATGAGCAAGGTGGCTGCTTTCTCTCAAAAGAACCTTTGTACAAATGCCACAAAACCCTGCAGTGCTGTTCTTACTGCCATGAGCTATATATTGAGAAGCATACACTCTGGTTTATTCCCTCTATATTTTTAAAAGGGTAGAAAACAGAATCTTAGAAGCATAGCTGGAGGGCCCCTCAGTATCTCTCTGGTCCATCTCCCTATTATCTGGCAAGTTCACCTGTAGCAATGGCTTTCCTGACAGATGCTTGTCAAACCCATTGTTTGAAGCCATGGAATATTTATAACTGATGAATCTGGCTCCTAAATGCTCACCTGACTTGTCTGCTTCTGTGGAAATAGAAATGCTATATTAGTATGTGTCAAGGAGTGCCTTGACTCTAGAAGAGTAAAGATCTAGCTCTACAGGTAACCCAGCCATATCCCTGTTGTTTTGGCAGGAGTGGTGTGTGATACCCTTTTGATCGCTCACAAGGCACGTGTTGTGCAATATTGAGTAGGAATCTGTTGGCACTGTTTCCTTTTTTTAGTGAGTAAATTTTTTTGGTTGATCCTGTAGAGCAAAGAATGGAGCCAGCTCAGCTACTGGCTCCAACGTTTATAGCTCTGACAGGCACACATTATTTCTTGTACCTGGAAGCCCCTGAAGTTCACTCAGGCCACTGTGTGAACCGGCCATATGCGAGTGAACTAGAATTTGAAAACAGTAAATCTTTGTTAATGTAGTGCCATGCTGAAGCTTTTTTCTAAATTATTTTCTTTGAATGATTAAAGTTCACTGGAAAAAATAGATAAACTATTTTTAGAAAAGATATGTAACTCAAGTTATTTTATATGAATGCTATGTAATGCGCTGCTTATAACTTGCACTCAGAATGGATTAACAAAACAATCTGTCACACAACTAACAACAGCTAATAAGATACATGATACTGACTCATTTGTAAAAGAGTCACTGTCTTTTCCCTTGCTTTTCATTTCTTTTATTGTGTTTATTGGAAATCCAAGTTCCTAATACAGGTGAGTTAATGCATAAATCCACTATGGAAATATTTACTACTTAGGTTCCTGGTTGGGATGCTTGGGGTATATTTATGCTGTAAATGGCAAGAGAGGCTCTGCAAGTGTATTAAGGTCTTAAGCTTTCTTAAGACTGCTTATCCCACTTGTGGCTGTAGGCAAGATCCTCTTTCTTTTTAAAATGTGTTCAGAGGATCTTCTCCAAGATATGCAGATTGTAATGGCCTTATAGTAGTGTAAGTTGCCATTTTGGCAATTTCTAGTTTGAGGAGTTAGGACATAGGTATCCTACTGTAGGTTAGGAGGTTATATGAAGTATTCTAAGTTTTATTTTCAGCTTGGCAGTGACATCTTCAAAGAAACAAAACAAAAAACCCTCTCCCCCTCAAAACCAGATGTTGCTAGCCCACTGAGTGTGATTTAAAGAAATGCTTACAAAACCAGATAGCCTTCCTGTCATTATAATGCTAAAAGCCTGGATATTTTAGACCTTTCTTTGCAGTAATGGATAGGTTATACAGCTATTTTTTAACCTTTTAACCTCTTCACCTTCTGAGTTGGAACATAAAACTGCTATAAAATCTTCAGCTATGAAAGTGGCTATGCGTAAGCCCATTTCTACTGTTTTAATACGGGTTCTGTATGTTAATTCTCCAGTAATATAATCAAGAAACTGCTGGCATTCAGAACCAGCAAGTACCTAGTTCTCACTTCACCTCCTGACCATAATGAATATAAAATGCTGATAGTAATAGAGTGAAATGAAAAACTCCATCTTGGCATGCAAAAAATTTGCAATCACGTTTTGATTTTCAGAGTGCTGCTTGATTGGGGGTTAATGCGTGGGTAGACTGACCACTCTTGCAGGAGCAGTTGTTATTGTACTAACAGTGTGAAAAACAAATTTCAAATAGAAAGCCTGTTGCATGTTTCTTGTAACTCATTTTAACTATCACTCCTTTGGTGTCTCGGTAGTAATAGCTGCTCTGAACTCTTCAGGGTTTTTCCTTCTTTTTGCATCTTTCAGGAAGGAAAGTGAATTTTATGATCAATTGAAAGATCATCTTGCTTTTGTTTCCTTTATTGTCTTCAAAGAGGACATCCCTGTTTGACTTGGTTAATTTTAAAATTGATATTTTGTGCTTTTCAAAGCAAAATGAAACTGTTATCGTATTTCCAAACTACCTGAGAAATAACTTACACTCTATGCATTGTATGCAAATCCACTTCTGTTCAGGTTAGATTTATACTAGTTTCCCTGGTTTTAACATCCTAACTACCTTCTGGTATTGGTTTTGTAGTGAGACTATTGCTTGGGCTGTATTTTCTAGAACTGTCTAAATAATAGTAATGTGAACTTGTATACTGTACCATTTGCCTGAGATCAGATTATGAGCGAAATTCTAATCTTAATCTGGTTTATTAAGTAAAATTAAACAAAAGTAAATGTTCCTGACCTGCTCAGATCCTTTTCTTCTTTTCTCTTCATGCTCACTACTAGTGACCAAACAAAAGGGAAAAAAAAGGAACAGCAAGATCAGGCCCATGTTTTGGCTTCACCTAGAATTTTTTTGTCAGATTTTTGAATTTGCCAAAGAGCTGAGCTTGTTTTACTTTGAAAGCCAAGAAATCTATGTTTAAGGTTATAAGTGGTGATTCTGGTTTTAGAGCAAGCTTTTGCAATGCAAAATGATTTTAATGAGCTTAAGATAAACTGCAAATTGCAGGGTGGGGGGGAAGAAGACAAGTGTCCTACTTGTCTTGTGATAGGTGGGTTTTATCAAACTGACCTTTAAGATGTTCTTCTAATGCAGGGAAATATTTCACAAGATAACTGCTGTTGGAGACAAATCCTATCTTTAATCATGAAAAAAATGGGGCTTGATTTGTGATGAGAGAAATTAAAAGTCAGAATTTAGTTTTATATCTTTTCTAGTGTCAAAATAGTGGGAAATGGCTGTGTACTCCCCAATTAATGGATTAAAACCATATAGACCTCTCTTGGATGACACTTGCTGTAATACCAGCAAACACTGCTGGGATAAAATGATAGGCAGTGCAGGTAGCAGGTAAATACTGTTTAGGAGTCTTCAGCTGTCTGTATTGAAGACTCTCTGAAACTCCATTTGATCTGCCTGTGTTATGAAGTGTGAGGCCACATCTAGTGATGTTTGATGTTTCTTCGACTTTAATGTATTTATTGAATTATGTGGGAGTCTTTAATTATGGGCACTTGACATTTATTTTAATTTAGGACATCTAATCCTAAAATGCCATGAATCAGTGGTCTACAAGTCTTGTCTGTAGCAGCTCAGGTGCAGTCATTAAAAGCCATGTTCTGCAGTATTCCACATTTCTTGGGACAGAGGGATCAGAAGGTGCTGGATCTGAGCCCCTGAGTCGTATAACAGGTTTGTCTTATTAGAGATAGCTCAACAACTGTGTCTGGAGCCCTGTGGTTGTACCAGTCCTTCTGTCTGCTCTACTGCCTCATGGCAGAGGCCGTTCCAAGATTGTAAATAGAGGAACAGTGGTACTGACTTTTGAAGCTTGTGTGGAGTGCAGCTAGAAGTGAAATGAGGTCTTTAAGTCTTATGCCAAGAAGAGCTACAGACGGATCAGAAAACTTACTTCCATAAATTTGTCTGTTTGCGATTACAGGAAGCACTGATAGCAAATTGTCAATTTGTGGTGCATAATATATGGATATCAGCACTAAGTAGACGAGTTGATTTTGCTCAGTAGTCTTGAAGGCTTTGAGAGATGTCTGTAGCAATTTTAGTAGGTAAAAATCTGTGCTGTTCTATGGTAAAGTTTTGTTTCTTTGTGTGTTTCCAAAGTAATATGTTTTCAGAGAGCTGTGAATAGTGCCTACACAAAAAACCTTTATATTCTGCCAGTTAGTTCATGCTACAGATAATAGGAATCCCTCATCTGGTCCCACCTTTTCCCACACACAGAATAGTTGCCCATTTC